GTCTGTCTGTCGGTGCGGGCGACGCGCCCTATAGCGGAAAAAAAAAAAAAAGAAGTTGGTGATTTCTGGTTGGTCAAGTCTTTAGAGGTTAGTTGGTAGTTTCTGATTTGTTAAGCTTAAATTTCATTTTACTGCTTACATTGAGTTGGATTTTGGCTTGTTTACATAGGAACTCAAAGTGCCAGAACTGTCTCAGCTGAATAGTCTCTCAATTATTTTCTTTTCATGAGGGCTGAGGGAATGTTTGACTATAAAGAGGCACCACTGGGACCAGCAGATGGCATAATAGCTACGTCACTGAACTCCCATGTAGTTGACTACAGTTCTAGTCCTGGACCTGGTGGGTTAAATTTCACGCTGGGTGTGTGTGCATGTGCATGTGTGTGCATGCCCAAGATCCCAAGAGCAGAATGGAGGAGGAGGGACTTGTGGTGTGGCCATCCCCCCAGGGGTGATTTCTTTTTGTCTTTCTGTCTCTCTCTGGCTCTCCAGTGAGTGCATGCACCCTACAGCAAAAAAAAAACTCTCTTTGAAAAAAAAAAAAAGATGCAACATAAGAGAGTTTTAGAGGTAATGGAATGGTTTTGAATCTTTTTTTTTTTTAAAATAGAGTTTTTGTTTGTTTGTTTATTTTTTTGTTATAGGGCATGTGCCTCACTAGAGACAGAGACAGAAAGTGAAAAATCATCCTCCAGAGTAGATGGCCACACCACAATCCCTTCTCTTCCGTTCTCCTCTCAGGATCTTGGGCACTCATGCACATCGTGCATGAGCCCAGTGTGAATTTTAAGCTACCGGGTCTGAGACTCAAACTGCGGTCCACTGCATGGGAGTCCTGTGACGTATCCATTATGCCACCTGTTGGTCCCTGGTTTTGAATTTTTATTTTATTTTATTTTATTTTATTTTTTTTGTGAGAGGTTTTCGCTATAGGGCTTGTGTGCTCGCCAGAAAGACAGAGAGAGACAGAGAGACAGAAAGCGAGAAATCACCCCCCAGGGGGGATGGCCACGCCGTAATCCCTTCTCCTCCATTCTCCTCTTGGGATCTTGGGCACACACGCACACGCGCCCTGCGTGAGTTTAAGTCACCAGGTCCAGGACTTGAACCACAGTCGACTACATGGGAGTCCAGTAACATAGCCATTACGGGTAACTGCTGGTCCCCCTGGTTTTGAACTTTTAAAAATTTATTTTTACTTTATTTTTGCCAGTGGGAGCATAGGATTGCCAGAGGGAGACAGAGTGGAAGAGGGAGAAGACATCCCCAATGGGGCAAGCTTATGATACAAGCTCTTCACCATTTCTCCATCCCCTCAGGATCTAGGGTACACATGCACACAACACCCTGTTTGATTCTCAAGCCACAGGGGCAAGACTCAAACCACAGTGTGCCATGTGGGAGCTGGTCCCTTAATTACTAGGCTACATATGGGTGGCCTGGCTTCTGAGATATTTCTAAGAATTTGTTTTTGTTAAAGAGACTTTTGCTATAGGGTTCATGTGCTCTCCAGAGAGAGAGACGGAAAGTGAGAAATCACCCCCTGGGGGGATGGCCACATCACAATCCCTTCTCCTCCAATGTCCTTTCGGGATCTTAGCACACACACATGTGCATGCGCACCTGGCGTGAGTTTTAAGCCACTAAGTCCAGGACTCAAACCACAGTTGACTACATGGTAGTCCAGTGGCATAACCATTACATTATCTGCTGGTCCTCACCATCTGAATTCTTAATGCAACGTCTTCCACCAAACTGGTTGATTTGGATGCTTCCACAGAAGCAAGTCTCTAAACTCATATCTTCAAAAGTAAGTAATAAAATCTTCTGGGATATTATTACTTATGATCACATTCAATGCTACAATTCCATGAGCTTACTGTGTTTGTGGTTTTGTTTGAATTAAAAAAAAACATAATTGTTTATTTAATTTTATTTATTCATTCATTTATTTTAATTTGATCAGAGAGATGCAGAGAGGGAGAGGAAGTGAGAAAGCAAGTCCCGATGCCCAGGACTCAAACCATGGTCAGCCATATGGGAATGTCCAGTGCCTTAACCACCACACTACCTGCTGGTCCCAGGTTTTGTTCAAATTTTTAAAAAAAGAATTATTCATTTAATTTTTTTTTCTTGGAAGAAAATAATTTTATTTTAGGATATTTTTTACATACTTTCAAATAGAATACATTTGAATTACATTAATAGTTTTCTATAGATAACTATACTTAGCTAGTTAAGTGAATGAAAAGCTTTTTGTTTCATTTAGTCTTCACAAATATTATTTAGTAAGAAGTTTATTATGTGATTTACCTAAAATCCACTGTCAAAGATTTTTCTTTAAAAATAAGTATATAAAAATCCAAAACATCATTAAGATTTTCATTAATATACAATCCAAAACTAACTTTTTTAAATAAGATTAGCTTCATTTTACATGAAAAGAGGCTTTGAAAAAGTTAATTTTTCTGCATGATCCTGACTGCTTGTTCAAAATGATTTTCCTGGAAGAAGACAGTGAATGAGATTTAAGGCTCAGAGGGGGAAATCTTCAAAATATAAAAAACAATATGCTTTATAATTCCACTTAATGAAGCTTATATATGATGAACTAGCTGTTTTAATTAAAATTT